TTGCATTCGAACGACCCCCGTCTGACTTTTAGCGCATTTTCTCACCCATGCGTAAAGCCCCTGGAGCAGGAAGTAAGAAACAAAACCATCGTCTACAACAACAACGAGTTAACTCGCCTCTTTATTGACTTGATATTAAATTTTTCGCGGTGCAACGGCTGCTGGTCTTTGTGGCTAAGCGAGAACGCGGTCGAAGAGACGCCTCAGAAACCATTCCAAATCACATTTCACGAACTAACACAAAACTTCAGCTCACTAAGGAAGTAGGAGGAATTCTCTGAGGTCACGAAAATCGATTGTTTTACATGCTGCCGGGGCTAAGGATGCATTATAAGCGGTTGACTTTTACTCGACCTGACACCGAGACTCTCTCTTCTGCTGAAATGCAATGGGTCTACAGACTCAGCAGTGATTCACTCGGCTGTTAACACTGTTAATCCGCCAAACCGATCAGGGAAAGACTTCTAATTTGCTACATTCTCCTATATACGACCCGACCGCAAACGAGGCAGATCAAGAAGTAGAGTACGAAACATAGGGGTATAGTATTGTAAGCATATATTTCAATGTCCACGCAGTGAACCGGTCGAAAATGAAGACCGTTGAAGTCCTTTCCCCTAACATCGATTTACCTATGTAACATTTTGGGAATTCGATGGTATCGCATCATCGAGTAACGAACCAGGATGAACTGACAAATCTCCCCCCCATCCTCACCCTTTAAAGGGACGATGAATCTGACGCTATGATAGAGCCATCAACAATTGTATGATATCGTGCATTTGTCAGAGTCTCCTGCGGGACTCAGCGAGATAAATCTTTGCTCCGTGGAAAACCGTCCTTCAGACACACTTAGGAATATGAGTTTTACGGAAACAGTGAAAATTACATAAAATCACACAGACCTGCTGACCATCATTGGAATACCGTTTAAACCCTTCTAAAATTAGCTAAGACAAATCCGTTGCTTGATTATATCAAGGAATTAGATTCTCTTATGATTTGAACGATGAAAATGTCCTAAGGGATCAGCGAAAAAACTTACACATTCAGAGCAATTAATTTGTCCAATATAATAAACTCAAATGCCTGCTTCCACAGTACGTGAATTTCGACAAAACTTATTAATCGGTTATCAAAATCTGGTGAAAATCCTGAAGAAATGAACAACTGGATATCCGAAATTTCCGTATGAACCTTATTCATGTCTTTGCCATAGGTGTCTTGAGTCGAATTCATAGAAAGGTTTTCATTAGGTTCCCAAGGACGGTGACGCTGCTCAAAAAGAACCGTGAGAAGTAGCAAGAAGCATCAGGTTCCCCTCCCGTAATCTGTTTACCGTGAACAAACTTTCTGCGCTTTTCCACACTACTTCCACCGTTGTAAAGAACTCGTCCAATAACGTCTGTAAACAAGTGAAACGGTATCGGCTGATTTAAAACGCTGCGAAAAAGTTCATTGACAATTAGTGTAAAAATGATCTATCTCTTTACGTCAGTTTTCACAGATTTCTCTTATTCAGGACTGGTGTCGTACTGAATAATGGTCCCAAAGGAAGGAAAAATCAATTAGACCCACTGACCTATAAATACATTAGAGGAAGTGTATTGTTTTTTACTCTGTTTGCGAATAAGCGCATTTTAGAGATCGCCCTTCCTTTCAAACTTAGACCAAAGTGGTCCTATTTTTATGTTTTTCACTCATCTTCAACCCGACTACAGACTTTTTAGCATGCATTTGCCTCACCAAGAACGAAGAGGTTACTCGGATTCGACACACACAGCACAAGACACCTCAACCGTAGGGAAATGAAGTCCAACCCGCAGAGTGACTGAGGTTATGTAGATCAGACTATGTAGCTCATTATTTCCGCCTACTCGCTGCGGGAGTTCAACAGCAACCTTACTGATGTCTAGAATGCTACCGCGGCGGCCATTCATTGGATCAGAAATTCGAACATATAAATATAGTTGTTGATCACCCCTAGCTATACGGCAGATAGACAAGAGCACGACAAGAATATT